TCAATCCGCAGCAGCAAAGCTGCACAGCAGCCAGGGGTGGACATATACAGAGAACCCTGGCTCAAGGAGACAAACTCTTGAAGAACCAGCTGTATACGCGAGTCGTCGCAGTCCCGTGCTCCATGCATCAGGAAAATAGCAAGGGATAGCTCACGACGAATGGGAAGAAAGACAAGAAGCCTTACCGAGTGCGCCACTGGGATATCCACGCTGTATTCACCGGCTTTCGCCGACGGGGAGAGGGCCATAGGTGGCGAACGATGGCGTGTGTGGTTCAGCAGCTGTGACATAGAGACACTCGCACAGCTTTAACGCAACGCTCAAACGGGATAAACAACTGAACACAAAATCTTGGTCGCTTTCTTCTTGGCGCACTTACGTCGATGAGACTGTCGCTTATGTATCCGCATAGGAGAAAGATCTCCGGCCGTTCACCGGGTATATTAAGCTGCCCTCTGAGGTGCACACTCACACGTTGTTTCGTACCTTCATGAAGCCTAAGTCGTTGAACTTCAGCTCGAAATTGCTAGAGTCACCGTAATGACTAGAATCTTCTACCCTAGTGCTCCTACAAGCGCAGCCATTAGGCTCTCTGGCTTACGTGATGCTCGACACATCCACCCTAATCTTTTTAGCCACAGGAACGTCTGGAGTCGCACTTTCCGCCGGCTGCATCTCTGACTGCTGCTTTGCAAGTCCATCAGGTTGCTTTTCAATGGACGCTTGTGAGTCGCCTCCCTCAGATCCCCTGCTTTTAGAGCCGCTACTCTCCCTATCAAGCGTTTGCATGCTACTGCTCCTTCTTGCTGGCTTCCCATTTTCAGATATCCTGCTGGTTCCTCTCTCGGGTGCACCTACCGCCCTGCTGCTTCCTCTCTCGAGTGCATCTACCATCCTGCTGCTTCCTCTCCCAAGAGGGGGTTCCAATAAGGTACTGTGTCTCTCTCCTTCAGTACTGGTGGCGCCTACGTCTGGTTGTGGCATGGTGCTGTTGTCCTCTTCCCTCCCTGCCCCTTGCGGCTCCAATTTCGCAGCCTGCCGCCTACTCCCCAACGGCTGTATTTGAGGCACTGTTTGAGGCTCGCTCTGCCGGATTATTTGCCCCATTCTTGGGGTCGCTTCCACAGGCGTTACTGAAGGGCTGGGGTGAGGGGGCGACTGGGCAGGGGTGTCGAAAACACTACTGCTGCTTCTGCTGTGTTGATGGCCTCTTCGGCTCCCATGGCTCCCACCCGCTTCTGTAGGTGCGTCCATGCTGATTGCACTGCTGCCTCGGGTGTCTGCCCAGCTCAGTGTCCGCTGCAGCGGCTGCTCCTCTGGCTCCCCTGGGAAACTGTCTCCCTTGGCCTTGCGGCTCTTCTGCTTTACGACTTCCCTCGTGCTCCTACCCTTGACAAAAGGGCGGTGCAGCACTGCGGCTCTTGGGGTTTCTTGAACCAACTCATATTCTCGCGCCGGTTGGCAGCAGCTGCAACAGAGCAGCTCATAAAGAGGTAACTGGTTGCCCTCTGCCAAGCGCTGGTAGTGACCGCCAGGCAGGCGCCGCATGCGCGGGGTCTCCACGTAGAATCCAGCATACCCCATCGCTGCTAGATGCTCATGGTGCGGAGCCGTTTGCTGTGTGGCAAGGTGAGCCGCCGACGCTCTGTGTGCAACACAAAGGCAGAGATGCGAGGTAGCAGAGCAAAAGGGACGCCTGTTTCAGCGCAGTCACTGGCTAAAAGCCCCTTTTGCATTGGATCAGTGTACAATTTCTAACTTTGGGGCCTAGAGCTCGGCGATTCGGCACTGTAGGGATGTCTTGCGTAGCAGATCCGACAGTTGCTGTGCTCCTCTGGAGCCTCGAGACCCCAGTGCCCCGCTACGTCGGCCCCCACTCTAACTCCCTCGTGCTTTTCAGAAAGAGGAAAGATGCAGGGCTTACCGGAGAAAGGTGGTTACGGGCGAGGACACAAATGCGGGTGCGTTGGCTTCGATGCAGAGGGCGCGTTGACGGAAATCGACAAGGCTGCGCGCTGTGAGAAGGAACGAAAGCTTGTTTTGATACGACTGAGAGTAATTTTGTGATTCTATCACGCATGCCCTTGGAGAAAATAGAGCAGCTCTATGCGGCACGACTGGCTTCACCGTGGTTGGGCTCCAACGGCCAGCTAGGCTTTTGGCGGAGGCCTTCGTTGTGAAATACCGTGTACTTTTATTGAGTTAACCTTCATTGATTCGCTTACAGTAGCTAATTCAATAAGAAAAATGAGAGAGTCGATCGATTTTACCTTAGAGGCTCTCCACTGTGCATCGCCGATCAACCCCACCAACCACGGCGGCGAGTCAGCGGTGAGGACCAGCAGGGGTTTTCTTGTTCTTGGCCTAGCCCCCCTTAGGTCCTCAATGCCTGTTGTCATTAATCCAATAACTAACTTTTTGCGTCCTTAAGGACCATATTCTGCTCCTAAAACTGCAATATGTACTTGCCCTAACCCCTAAGGCGGCAGCGCCCAACTGGTGGTGTGACCGGACCTGCGGGCTGTCTGTTAATCCTAGCTAACAACTGGCACGTCTGCTCCTCACAAGATAACTAAGCACCATATCCTTTAACATAAGATACACGCTGCTGTGACAACCGCCAAAAGTAGCTCTTGTGCCACTCGCCACGTGCAAGAACAGAATTACCGCAGGTACATGCTTTCCACCTTAAGTGTTCAGACCCTAGGAAAGGCAGTTCAAAAGCAACGATACATGAAAGCAATAAAGTACGCAACGCTTACTCTGCTTGCAGTGGAGGAAAGCGGCGCAACAGGGCTAAGATGTGTTTTCCCCTTGCTTGCTGCTGCCGCTGCGGTATTGAAGTAGGCTGCTACTGTGGCTATGGCATGCAAAGATGTACAACTAGGCACTTCCTACTACACTAGCTACAGTTTAGGGATGAAGATTTCGTTTGGATGTTCGCCCACACTATTTGCCGTTGACTGAGGGTCAGCCATGTGCGCCCCTGCGCTTGTTGCTCTGTGTAGCCTGGTGCGAATATTCAGAATGTGTACCTGGTGCAGCAGCACGTGCCGTAGTGTTAACTTCCCCCTGATGCCGCAGCCCTGTAGGCTAAGGGAGAGAGTGGGGAGGAGCTCATCGGGAAAGCTACGACCTTATTTGAAACCCCAAGCCCCTATGCAGGAAACTAGGAAGCGTCTCCCCGTGAGACTCTAAGCGAAGCGCTGATGTTTGTTTTTGCTTTGCTCATCCAGCTATCGCTAGGGTACTTTACATTTGGTCTGAGCTCAAGTAAGAAGGAACGGCACATTCGACCTGTATGTTGTTCTTTTTGTTTAGCAGTGCTACCCACAATCGACAAATGTGTTGCTGTTGCCTGCGTCCTAAGCTCCCCAAAACCCCTTCATAAATGCTCGGACTACCTAGGGCGTGCGCCACTTGATGCACACCAACTGCTCTTCGTACCTTCATGGCGTGGATCACCAAACAGGGCAGGGGCACCCTACGGCGCTCTTCAGGAACGACACAGAACCTTTCCTCTAGACAGCAGCTGTTTCGCCCATTATAGACGCACCCTTAGCCGCCACTAATGCAGCGTTGAATCTTTGCTGTAGCTGTGCAAAGCCTTCAAACAACCTAAAGCCCGCGCACGTGTTAGTGGACTTCGGCGTAGGGATGATGGCGAAAGGCAGTATGCTTTCCAAGCGACCTGCGCTTACCTACGAATGGGGTGAACTGTGCCATCAACAAATCGAATTAAGAGGTTGTAAACGCTGTAGACACATCAAATGCGTGTAGCTTGTGGTTTAAAAGGCTCCCTTCTTGCTGCGGTCTTCCGTAAGCGTCTCTCACGGTCAGCCCACTAATGCGGGCAGCAATGGGGCGTAAAGGAAATGTGCTTTTAACGGCACCCAATGCGAGGTTCAGCAGTCGGGGTTTGCTTCTAAGGCCTATAAAATTACCCTGGAAGTGCCCCAGCTTCCTTGAACAAACAATGCGACGCGGGTGTCCAAAGCACCGTTCGACACACTCCCACACTATGGGCTTTCTCAAAATAAGGTTGCCCCTCCTAAGGATTGTTCCGCCTGAGCATTGCGACTCTATCATCTGCCTTTCTGCCCAGCTCTGCTTCTTTCGTGCCCCGAACACAGCTTCAGCGGGCTATTGCTTCCAAGCTGAAGCGCTCCCCCTGCTCCTCGCAACTATCCAGGCTCAAAACGCGCAGTCTATTAGGGATACGCACCCATGGGCAGCGTCGCACATATGCTGACGGCTTCAAGATGATTCGGTGTTCTTATAAGTCCCTTCCTAGAGAAATCCTCGCTTAGTGCAGCTTTCCAAGAATCGGGAGGGGCGTGAGCAACAGGGGAATAGTACGACAAAAAAGCCGATCCACTGCAAAGGCTTTCGTAGTCAAGAAGCATTGCACGGATTGAAATCTGCCTCATCTTCTGTGTCCATCGATCAATTAGCCTCGCTCTACGTCTAGTTATTTCTGACTACTCCTTCCGCTTTTTCGCTTTCTGCCCAAAGAACCAATGCTGTCGCGGCACCGGCAGCTGGATTCTGGGGGAAGGATCGAAGACGCAAAGCTAAGGAAGAAAGTGTTCTCTGTACACCCTAAATACGTGAGGCTATATTTTAAATAGAGTCCTGTGCGTCGTAACAAATCGCAACCCTTCATGCGGTTATTTCTGGTGCGACTACCGCCCCGACCCACCCCGAGCAGATGTCAAAATGCAAAGGGCAACACAAAATGGGGGCGATCAGACAACAGCACTGCCCAAACAGCAGCAATAAATGTTGCAAGCCACTCATGGAGGGCACTCGTGGCGTCTTTCCTATTTTTGCAGCGAACGGCCGCTAACTTCTCTGCACGACTTGAGAGAAACACACATGCGCGGCAGCACCTGCTGCCGCTGCTGCTGCGAGCACACACTAGCAACGGTCACGAGTGCTTCAGAAAAATGTCGCTGCGGCTGAAGACGCTCCGTCCAACTCACGCGTCGCCCACAGCACTAACTGTAAGTCAGTCTAAAGAGGGGCAGGACCCTCTCCGTCCTGCACACACCACCATAGCCAACACACTACATGCCGGCGCTGCAGCGAGCCGCTGCAAAGAAGGCTGCTGTGGAAACGGCAAGAGGCTTATCGCAGACGAACAACAATGAAAAAGCTCGGAAACTCTCAGCCTCAGCGAGCTGCAACTTACGCGGCCACAGCTATGAGATCCTGCCGCTGCAGCAGCACCGAATCGCAGCCGCCGAAAAAAGAAGCGGGCAGGAGCATTAGGGGAGTCACTAGCTTAGGTCGATCCTTCGCCACTGCTGTTTCGGCAGTTGCCGCTCCGCTGTCTTCTGCAGCTGGTCGCCCGCAGATTAGCATGCGAGGCTGAACTTCCTGGAAGCAGCATCGTGCACACCCGCGGCAGAGAGACACTACCCGAATTATGACAGCACCTCCAGCCCACGAACCCCCGCAGTCTAATACCGCCCTGCAGGCAGGCAGAGCGATCCGTGACTGCGAGGAGCAGAAGCCACGAAGTACCAGCAGACGCACGGAGTCGCTGCAGGGCAGGCACGAACGGCAGCGAGGAAGAGCAGCACACCTGCAGCAGCAAGTTAGCTTCCACCCGGCAAGGTCCTGGAGAAACAGCACACAGGAGAGCTGCGGAGAGTTGCTGCTGGTGTTGGTGCCCGTGCTGCGAGAAAACGGGAGAAGGTGCTGCAGCGAAACGTGAGGCGGAGGAAGAGGTTGTTGTCGTTGCAGAGTGTGGCGTTGTCGGTGCTGGTGGGCCCATGGCTGCCTCCGCCTGCATATCAGACAGAGAGCAGCACATCCACAGGTTTCTTTTGCGGCAAGCTTTCTTTGTTGAAACCGCATCTGAAAGGACCGTTGCGCAAAAGTTGCAAAACAAGAAGCAGAAAGGTGGGGCGTCGTGCAGACTATTTCTGCAGCGAGCCTCACCGCAGGAATAGTGCCGCCTAAGATGACCGCTGTTACGAGCAGCTGCTGCGATGGCGGAGAAGGCATTAGGGCAGCTGCTTGTAAGGCTGCTTGCTGCAACCCTCCTGGCTCGGCAGCAGCCCGCAGCAACTGCGAGTCCGCGCATGCAAAGAAGAAGAGGGCAGCTGGGGGGGATGTTGACACGCTGCTGGGGGTGTCGGCGAGGAAGCGACTAGAGAAACCGTCAGCGGCTGCCGCTGCTGCGATGGGTTCTACGCTGTGTAGTGAGCGACCAGGCATTGCGGCAACAGCCGCTGCTGCGGCAGCGGCTGTTGCTTCCGAAGCTGCTAAGACGCCACTCGGTGCCACCCACGAGCACGGGAGTCGAGCTTCGTCAAGGGTGCGGGGAACGGGCAGGCGTGGAGGGAGTGCGGCGATTGCAGTCATTGGGTGATGGTGGTCATGCTGCTGCTGCTGGTGCTGCTCTTGCTGCTGCATGAGTAGCTGCAGAGGAGTGCCCTTTACACAGCTGGGGTAGCCGTCGTGCTGCAGCGCATGCAACGGCGCAGAAGGGCAGTCTGCTGGGGGTGCGGCTTCTGCCAGTGCCAGAACGGTCGGCTGTTGCTTTACGACTGAGTTCGTCATCGATCTCTGAAGACCGATTAGGTGGCAAGGGGTGTCTGCAGGATTAGCAGCTCCCGTTGGCAGTGGTGAGGCAAACTCCAAAGTCGGCGCAGGAGCCGTTGTTGTTGCGGCAAAATACTGGTGGGAACGAAGGGGATTCTGCTGTTGCGGACGATGCACCTTGTGCCGCTGGAGCGGCTGCTGCTGCTGCCAGCTGCACCACTGCTGCTCGTGTTGCTGCACAGAGAAGAACGCTTGCTGAGGGGGGTAGCGTTGCGGCTTCGAAAGTTGCCCTTCTTGCAGCTGAAGCTGCTGTTGCTTTGCTGAGCAGCAGGCACGCGCCTGGCCTCCTCCAGAGGAAGGAGCGAGACACGGCTTGTCTAGTGAGTGAGTTTGCGCCCATACAGCATTTGCATCGAGATATGTTCTCATCGCAGCTTTAGAGACACCCTGCTGCATGCTTGCGTGCGGCGCTGAACCCGCTGGCACAGGCTGACGACAACAGCAGCACCTTGAATGTCTGGCACCGCTGTTGCTCTGCAGGCTGCAGCTGCCGCTTCTCTTGCTCAAGCTGGGCAGCTCCCCCTTCGTGGCTGCTACAGGCCTCTGCACTGCACAATTACACCCAGAGCGGCATGTCGAAGCTTGCGACGGCTCCTGCTGCCTTGACCCTCGGATGCAGAGCGCTGCTGCTGGTGATGCTGCTGCTGGTGATGCCGCTGGATAACGCCTCTTCTGCAGCACAGCAGCGCCATGCCCTGTCTCCGAAATGGTGGGATTTGCAGTCGGAGTTTCAGAAAGACCATCCGAAGCAGCGGCGTGCTTGCCGCCCCTGCTGCATGTGCAGATGCGCGATGGCGAGCGTTCGAGCTTTGGCTGGAAAGGCTGGTGCTTCTGCTGAGACTGCCGCGCTGTTCTACGGGCACGCAACACCTCCTGTTTTGCAGAAGGGCATGCAGGGGGGGAGTAATCTGCCGCTCTTGTCGTTTTTGCACAGAGGTCGTGTGGCGCTGCAGCAGCCGAGACGATGCCTGTTGCATGCGGTGCTGCCCTTGTCGTGGGTGACGGGGAGCAAAGCGTCTGCGGCTTCGGAAAACGGCGCGTGGAGACCCCTGCAGCAGCAGCAGCTGCTGCAGCTGGTGCTGCTGTTGCTGCAGCTGCTGCAGCTGGTGCTGCTGTTGCTGGTGCTGCTGTTGCTGCTGCTGCTGTTGCTGCTGCTGCTGTTGCTGCTGTTGCTGCGGGGCAGCACGCGTCTTCGCTTGTCGCACCGGCAGCAGGAGCCGCAGCGGCTGCTGGAGGAGGGAGATTACTCTGCGCAGAGGCAACGGAAGAGGGAGACATGACCGAGCTGTCGGAGCTGAGCGTTAAGGAGAAGGAGGTAGCACATGCACCGCGAAGGGCAGAGAATGCAGTTGCTTCCCCCGCTGTAGCAGCAGCGGCGGCAGCGGCTGCTGCTGCCGCTAACTCGGCAGCAGCCTTCTCAGCCTCAGCAAGCGCTGCCGCCTCTTCGGCTGCAGCCGTTGCTGCAGCAACCTGGGCAATAGCAGCAGCTGCTTCTGCTGCCGATGGTGCTGAGGAACGCCGCTGCAGAGAGTAACGACGAACAGAGCGGGAGTTACTGCTGGCAGGCATATGCCTCGCAGTCAGTGCTCCCCCCAGGGGCAGTGCCTTGCAAGGCGCTGGAGAAGCAGCACTCCCTGTAGCAGAAACACGTCTCGCAGAAGAAGCGGAAGAAATCAGCGGCTGCAACAGCGACTGGCCCCGAGACAAGACTGCCGATGAGCTGCTGCCTGTGCGCAAGCTGTTGCGGCTGCGAAAAAACTCCTTTTTACTGCCAGCATAGAGGCCGCATCGCTTCCGCGGCGGCTGCTGCCGCCGCGCTGCTCGAAGTCTGGATTGCGTGCAGCGTGTTAGCCAGCATTCTTGCAGAGTCATCCTTTTCTCGCCTTCGCTCGGGGGAACGTCTCCTTTCTCCTGAGACTGCGGCTGCTGTCGACGCTCCCGTCTCTGTTCTACAACGAGAAGCGCAAATGTTTTGGAGTGAAACACCATTACCGATGGAGCGGCAGCTGCTGCTGATTCGCACGGCGCCGACTTCCGTACACCGCAGCTAAGGTCTCCCTCACGCTGCTGCTTCGGCGGGGATGGCTGTTTTTCTTGCGTTTTTTGCTGCCCCTCCATGTGCTGCGCATTTACCCCGAACTGCTGCAGCTGTACACGTTCCTGCGCTGGAGCCTCAGACGCAAAGGCAGCAGCTCCTACCATGCCAGCATCGCTGCTATCCTCGTGAATCACAGCACACTCCCGCCTCTGCTGCTGTTGCTGCTGCTCCTGCTCCTGCTGCAACGACGACATCTGCACAGCGTTGCTGAGGGCACTCCAAAAGGCAGACGCTATTTGCAAGGCCGCCTCAAACGGCAGCATGGGCTCCACTGCGCATACACCGCAAAGGAGGAATGCGCAAATGCAGCAAGGAAGCACGGACTGCTAAGACTGCGACTTGAAAAAAAGCCCCTGCATCCAACTCCCCCTTTCGCTTACCTGCCAAAGCATCTCCTTTTCGGGAAGTTGCTGGAGGTGCTTCGCCTGCGGCTCCTGCTGCCTCTGCAGCTGCTGCCGCTGCTGCCGTCGCATACGTCTTATGTACACGGTCGACTGCGCATGCAAGAGCATCCGAGTGGAGTCTTAGCCAAGTTGGTCTTGGAGGGCCAGTCTGCAGCTCCTGCTGCAGCTCCTGCTGCATCTGCTGCTGTTGCTCTCGCTGCATGCGCACGATTGACTCCGCCGCGTTGGCGAACGTCTGCAGCAATATACGCAGAGGCATCGGCGCATCCTCCGCATGCACGCATTGGTGTTGCTGCTGCGGGGGGAGCCTGCGGTGAGGGCGTCGGTGCAGCAGCTGCTGCTGCTGCATCTGCTGCTGCTGCATCTGCTGCTGCTGCATCTGCTGCTGCCGTTTCCGTCGGTCACGCGCTACGGACTGCAAAAGCAGTAGGCGGATGCGAGGCAGCAAGTCGCTTGTGCAGCCGCCAGCTGCTCCAGAAAGGCTCAGTAGACGCTGCTGCTGCTGCTCCTGATGGCTGCCTTGGTGCTGCCTCTGCTGCTGCCGCGAAGCACCCACGGCGACACTGCCATCTGCAGCACCAGCGGACGCTGGAAAGGGCGGAAAAGCGTCTGCCCCTTCACAGCTGCTGCTGCTGCTGCTGCTTGTCGTTGTGCAGCGCGTGGAGAGTGTATCGACACGCAGCAGGCTGCCAGCACTTTTGCCGTCGTCGCGGTGCTCAAGGATACTGCTGCTGCGGGAGAGACTGCTTTGCGTTCCGCCATTCACGGAAACAAGGCCGTCTCCCTCCAACAGATCCTCCGTCTCACACCCCTGCGGGGGTTGTTGCGTCTCGCGCTGCTCCACGCTGCCTTCAAGCGTCGGTGTGTGCAGCTGCAGCTGCCGCTGCTGCTGCATGCACTCCTCGTCTTGCCTATCATTTATCGCTCGTGAGCTTCGCGTGGACGGGGATATTCTTCCGGCGCTAGGAATATCCACTTCCGCTGCTTTCGCTGCTGCTGAGACGGAAGAGCCCTCAGCAAGTCGCTCATCAACAGGGTTGACAGCCGTGTAGCTGTCTTGCAGCGCCGCTCCTTCTGCTATACTCGGCGTAGCTGCTTTCGCGAAAGCTTCCGTTGCCAAGGGCGCAGCCTCCCCCTCTTCGAAGATCGCCGACGCTGCTGATGGTCGAAAAGCTGCAGCTAAATCTCCTGCTGACACCCCTGTTCCTTTCCTTGCAGCTACATCATAAGCTCCAAGCATGGTATCCGCCTCAGACTGCCACACCACAGCCTCTGCAGTCGCCTCTGCTGTTGCAAAATGCGCTGCTAAGGGAACGGCTGCGGACTGGGCAGCAGACGTTTCTGCTGCTGCTGCTGATGCTGAGATTCGAGGCAAATCCCCTGCTGTAATCTCATCAATGGAATGATTCACTAGCGCGCTGGCTACCGTATCGCATGCATGCGATAACTCACGAGCCGCACATACTTCCAAGATCGGGGACGCCACAGTCATTTCTGCCGCTGCTGCCAATCGTGCTTCTCCGCTTTCATCATTAACATCATTATCATCATCATATGCCGCTGCTGCTACCATCTCTGCAGATGCTGCAACTCTTTCTGCTCCTGCTGCTGCTGCTATCATCTCTGCAGATGCTCCGGCTATTTCTGCTCCTGCTGTTTCTGCTCCTACTGCTATCATCTCTGCAGATGCTGCTATCATCTCTGCAGATGCTGCGGCTATTTCTCCTTCTGATGTTTCTGCTGCTGCTGCTATCCTCTCTCCAGATGCTGTGGCTGTTTCTGCTCCTGATGTTTCTGCTGCTGCTGCCATCATCTCTGCAGATGCTGCCATCATCTCTGCAGATGCTGCGACTGTTTCTGCTCCTGCTGCTACTGCCACTGCCGCTTCAGCTGATTTCGTCTTGACTGCAAGAGCAGCTGCCCTTGCTTCAGTTCCTTCTGCATGCGCCAATGCAGCGTCAGCCTCTACCGCTGCTGTAGCTCCTTTGGAGGCTGTCTCCGCTGAGGTGGCTGCTGCATCCACTTGTCTTGCCATCTGTGTTGCTGCTGCTGTTGCTGCTGCTGTTGCTGCTGCTGCTGCTGCATCTGCTTCCGCCGCAGCCTCTGCTGCCACTGCTGTGCTGTCGGCTGCAAGCGCAGGAGTTTGTGCTGGTTGCAACGTTGGTGCGATGACATCCGCTGTCGCTGTCTCACATTCTGCTGCTTCGAAGGCGGGGGCGTCTTCACACGCCGCCTCAGCTAACGCAACATCAACAGCTGCAACGGCCGCTGCATCCACTTCATCTGCTGCTGTAGCTGCTGCTGCTCTAGCTGCTGCTGCTGTAGCTGTTGCTGTAGCTGCTGCCGTCTCCGCCACAGCAGCTGTTGTAGCAACGACTTCTTGCACTGCTGTTGTAGCGACGACTTCCTGCAGTGCTGCTGCTCCTGATTTCAAATCTCTGGCTGGCGTATCGAGTGAAGATCTTCTTCTCGCGTTTGTGGTTATTCGTGCAGCAGCTTCTGCTGCTGCGGTGCTTGCAGCTACCGCTTCTGCTTCTGCCAGAGCGGCCCTTGCTGCATGAGCGGCAGCTTCCTCTGCAGCGAAGAGGCAAACCTCAGCCTCCTGCATCGCCGCTGCAGCTTCGTCTTCTGCTGCTATAGCGTCCATCTCCGCTGCTGCAGCTGCCTTGGCAGCAAGACGTTGTTGTGCGACACCTCTGCTCGCAGTGATAACAGCAGCGGATGCAGCGGCGGATGCCCGTTGCAACTCTTCTTCCGCCGTGGCAAGTGCTGCCTGCGCTGCTGCCGCTGCGCTGCGAGCTTCGCTTGCATCACGAGTGGCTAGCACAGACCGCGCACTTGCCGCTGCTGCCGCATGCTGCGCTGCTGTGCTTCCTGCAGCAGCTGCGGCTGCAGCAGCTCCTGCTACGGTAGAGGCATGCACGCGCTGAGACAGAGCATCTTCTGCCCACAGACAGTCCCTTTGCGCTGCAACAGCAGCATGCTCTGCAGCAGCAGCGGCGGCTTCTGCCTGCGCTGCTGCATCGCTGAGTTCCCACGCTACTGCTTCTTTTGCAGCTGCCACAGCTTCTGCAGCCTCAGCCAGCTTTGCAGCTTCTGCAGCCTCAGCTAGCTTTGCAGCTTCTGCAGCCTCAGCTAGCTTTGCAGCTTCTGCAGCCTCAGCCAGCTTTGCAGCTTCTGCAGCCTCAGCTAGCTTTGCAGCTTCTGCAGCCTCAGCCAGCTTTGCAGCTTCTGCAGCCTCAGCCAGCTTTGCAGTTTCTGCAGCCTCAGCCAGCTTTGCAGCTTCTGCAGCCTCAGCCAGCTTTGCAGCTCCTGCAGCCTCAGCCAGCTTTGCAGCTTCTGCAGCCTCAGCCAGCTTTGCAGCTTCTGCAGCCTCAGCCAGCTTTGCAGCTTCTGCAGCCTCAGCTAGCTTTGCAGCTTCTGCAGCCTCAGCCAGCTTTGCAGCTTCTGCAGCCTCAGCTAGCTTTGCAGCTCCTGCCGCAAGCACCTCCTGTTCGAGCGGCAGTAGGGAGCTCCCTGCCGACGGCGTTCCCAGACGGCTGTCCTCGCTGTTGCTGCTGTTGCTGCCCTCCACAAGAAAAGTGCTCGCTTCCTCGATTAGGAGCTCCTTTGTCAAACTTTTGTCGAAGTAGCGCGTTCCCGCTGCTGCGGTTGCTGCCTCTAAAGTGGCCACCCCTGCTGCGCCTTCGTCCTCATGACCCTTGCTGCTTGAGGCATGCAAGGCAGCAGCCGTTGGAGAGTTGTATGCTTGCGTGAACGCTGCATGCACTGGCGACGTCTGCGATGCGTCCAGTGCATGCAGCGAGCGCGGTGGCTCAAGAGCTGCTGCCAGTGTCACTGGGGTTGTCAAAGTTTCTTTCTGCCTCTCGCAAAAGCCCCCTACAGCAGCAACGGCCTCTGCTGCCACCATCACCCCCCCTACTGCTGCTGCTGCTGCAACTTCTTCTTCTGCTGCTGCAACTTCTTCTTCTGCTGCTGCTGCAACTTCTTCTGCTGCTGGTGCAACTTCTGCTGCTGCTGCAACTTCTTCTGCTGCTGCTGCTGCAACTTCTTCTGCTGCTGCTGCAACTTCTTCTTCTGCTGCTGCTGCAACTTCTTCTTCTGCTACTGGTGTAACTTCTTCTTCTGCTGCTGCTGCAATTTCTTCTTCTGCTGCTGCTGCGGCGCTGGCATTTTGGCAGCTTCTCTGGGAAATGCCGTCTTGAGCAGCACTTGCCTCCGCTGCTGCGGTGGGGCCGCTGTGTGCCTGAAGGGCCGCTGCCTTCACTGCTTCTGCGTTCTCTTCGTCTCGAGCAGCGGAGTCTGCGGCAGCAGCTTCTGCTGCCACGCCTTCTGCGAGATCTGCGTCAGCTGCAATCCACTCCCCCCACTCGTCTAAGTTCCTATGGCTGCAAAGCCCCTCATTCCACGACGCTGCTGCTGCTGCCTCTGGAGCAGCTTTTGCCTCCGTAGGAAGCAAGAAGGACGGCGTGTGATGCAACCCGTCCAGCACAGCGGGCGAGGAAGGAGAAAAAGCTGCTGAGAAAGCGACGGAAGCGCCAAGGGCGTCCGTCATATGCCCGCTGGATTCAAGCGCTTCCAGAGAATGCCAAAGGAAGGAGCTCTCGGAGGAGGCCCCTGCCGCCGCCGTACAGCTGTTGTCAAAAAAGGCTTCCCCGTCGCTGCTGCTGCCGCCGCGCCTCCTCCCGCTTCTGCCTGTGCTGAGAGAGAAGCTCCTGCAATCAGAGGGCTCAAGAAAAGCACCTTGTTGCGCTTTTTCGTCCTTCTGCTGGAGGCAGCGTCGCAGCTCCCCATGCTCGCTCTTGGGGAATGCCTGTCGATCTGCAATCCCCCCACCCCTCGATTCGCAACACAACGAGAGCTGTCTTCGCGACTGCGGCGAGGACGAGAGCACAGCGCTGCTGCGGCTGCTCCTGCTGCTTTTCAGCCCTAAAGGAGGCACAGTGTGAGGCCTCGTCCAACGTCTGCGGCGTCCGTACACTGCCTCTGCAAAATGCGCAGTTGAACGCGTCACCTCCGGAAGGGGGACTGGATCTGTTACAGCCGGAGAGTCTGTCAAAGCGAGAGACGCATCCAGAGATAACGCACCGATGCTGCCAGTAGGAGAACCAGCCTTCCCAGGAGGAGGCGTATCGACACTGGAGAACACAGGGCAGTTCCTCTCCCTCCCCTCCTCCCACGCAGACACCCCCGCCGCAGCTAAGGCCTCTTGGCATGCATCTGCACTCCCGTCCAACTGCTGCTGCTGCTGCTGCTGCTGCTTCGCAAAAGGATTTCTCATCAGAGGGCCAGGCACCAGTCTCCCCATGACTCCCGCTAGCCACTGCAGTCTGCTGCTGGAAACAGCAGCGCTTTTTTTTGTAGCCTCTGACGACTCTCCGCTTGCTGTTGCCGGATCCCCCCCGCAGTGCAGTGCTGCTGCGCAGAGACTCAACGCTTCAACCTCAGCGCCGCTGTTGTTGCCACCGCCTCTGAGGCTGCTAAGGCCCCTCATCACACCGGCACCAAGCGTCGATCGTCTGAGTAGCCTCCCCCTTCTTGCGCAGAGCACCGAAGAAGCAAAGGGAGAGGCGCTGCGACTCCTGACTGCATGCAAAACGACGCTGCTACTGCTGCGGAAACGCGCTGAACGTGGTTGCTGCGGCTGTGGAATGAGCGGCTGCTGCTGGGGAGAGACTCCCCAGGAGGTGTCTCTACACGGAGGCAGTAGCGCAGCAGACGAAAGTATCCCTTCTGAAGTCATCATGCCTGCATCAGCAGTGGCATCGGTCGATGCGGCAGCAGCCGTCGCTGCAGTCGGAGTCGTGCTGAACGGCAAAACAGCTGCGGCAACAGCAGCCGCAAGCGCAGCGGCAGCCGTATTCGCCATGGAGGTGGCCTCCTGTCGCGAAACCAACACTCCGTCCAAAGAAACCAGAGCACCGCATGCCGCAGCAACGGTCTGTCTGCGACAAAAAAGCCAGAACAAAAGAAAACCAGGCGCAGCGAAAAAGCTGGAAGGCAGAGAGCGTCCACCCCCGAAGAGGAGCCGTCCGACAAAGCGCGCTGCTTACAACCGGCAAAAATCTTCGAGGCGCAATAGCGCAGCAACAAGGGCAAACCAAGGAGTAAAACGAACAAAAGGGGGAGAAAAGGGGGGTGCATGCATATACCTATAATGTAGACGCGTTGCATCGTCAGAATGCGTTTTTTTGGTATCGCTTTCTGCTCCTGATACCAGCGTCGCGTCGGCACCAGCCATCGCTGCCGTGGCTGTAGTAAGCGGCCATCTAGAGCCAGTAGCGATTCGGCTAGCGAGAGGCACTCGCCGCCTCTGCTCCTCTTCTTGCTCCTGCTGCTGCTCATGCCCACGCAAAACGTCATGCTCCTGAAGCGGTCTGCGCATTGCGATCGCCGCTGATGATGCAAAAGCTGCCTGCTGGGCAAGCTCGTGTGGCGATTGCTGCTCCTGCTGCTGCGGGTACATGCCATGACAGATTGGGGTGTCTCGGAGGGAAAGATGCTGCAGAGTTTTGGCCTGCAGCAGAATCGCCAAGTGCAGATTTATCACAGGGGGAGATGGTGCAGGAGCAGCACAGCGTATAAAGCAACAGCAGAGGCAGCAGCAGGAGCAACAGCAGAGGCAGCAGCAGGAGCAACCACAGGATAAGCAGTCTTTTGGCGGCAACGTACAAGCGGCTTAAGAGCGACTAGAACCGCTTCGAGAGACGTCAAAGGATTGCCATCCAGCAACAACACGCGAAGGTTCTCCTTTCCCTCGAAAATGCCGGGGGGAAGCACCGACAGATTTCCCCCGCGCAGATCCAGAAACTGCAGAAGCGGCAGCGGGGTTCTGCCAAACGCATGCAACGCCTCGAGAGGCCAGCAGCATCCGGTGATCGAGAGAAAAGAGAGGCAAGGGAAGAGGCAAGGAGAGGACAGAGGCACCAATGTGCTGCTGCTGTTAGTGCTGCTGCTGTTAGTGCTGCTGCTGTTAGTGCTGCTGCTGTTAGTGCTGCTTTCGTCCTCGCAGTACTGTGTAAAGGATTCGGAAAGGTGAAGCAGAGAGGCAGCTGTCTTGCCATTGCTGATGCAGAGGCGCTGCAGTCGTGGTATTCGCCACCTCATAACAGAAGGCCAGCAGCAGGCAGGTAGACTGCTTCTAGTGTCTCGACTGACGTTGCCAAGACTAAAACTGCCATTTTGAGCACTAGTTGTTGTCGAACATCGCTCTAAGGGCTCCTGTTGATGCTGCATTTGCTGCTGGTGTTGCATTTGCTGCTGCTGCTGCATTTGCTGCATTTGCTGCTGTATTTGCTGCTGCTGCATTTGCTGCTGCTGTATTTGCTGCTGCTGTATTTGCTGCTGTATTTGCTGCTGCATTTGCTGCTGTATTTGCTGCTGCTGTATTTGCTGCTGTATTTGCTGCTGCATTTGCTGCTGCATTTGCTGCTGCTGTATTTGCTGCTGCATTTGCTGCTGTATTTGCTGCTGCATTTGCTGCTGCTGTATTTGCTGCCACGGACTTGGCAGCAATTCTACAGTAAGTTGCTCTAGAGATTCGTGGCACACTTCGAAATCATCGGATGCCGCCTGCAGTTGCCTCTGCTGCTCTGACAGCAGCAGATGCTGCAACTTTGGCGCGACCTCGAAGCCTCCAACGATCTCTAGGGGGTTTTTTCGAGCATCTAGCAGCAGCAGCTGTGGCAGTGGCTGCAGCAGCAGAAGTTCGCGGAGGTTGTTTCGGGTGCAGAGCAGCTGCTGCAACGAGCGACTCTCCAGCTGTTCCCCCAAGCCGCAAAGACTGTTGCAGCTGACATCCAGCAGCAGCAGCTGTGGCAGCGATAGCAGCAGAGTGCAGACACCGTAGGGCTCCCTGCTGCTGCGGCCGAAGCTGCTTTCTGCTGAGGCTGCAGCTGCACCTGCGGCTACGCATGCGCGGGCAGCAAAAGGCGGCTCAGGCTGTAGCTGTTGCGTTCGCGCATCAGCATCCTCCGCCGGCGCAGTCAGGAGATCCCTGGCGGAGCGCGTGCCCGGCAAAACAAGACAGTTGCTGTCCAGACACAACACCTTGAGGTGCTGCAGCGCTTCTAGCGCGTCAAGCGAGCCGTCAGTGAGCTTGTTGCCGCTGAGCAGCAACTGCTGCAACAGAGGGGTAGCCATAGCCAGAGGGGGAAGAGAACGCAGCCCCAATCCGCAGAGAGAAAGAAAACAAAGGCTTTGCAGCAGAGAAGGAGGCAGCAGCAGCTGGTTGCTGACGCTACACAGGACAGAGGGCGTTAGAACGGCTAGCAGTGTGTCTCGCACTCCTTCGGATGCTGACTGAGCTGCTGCTTCTGCGATGGGCTGCTTCTGCTGCTGCTGCTTCTCCTCCTCCTCAAGCAGCGAAAAATCCTCCCTAGCACACGCTGCCGCATCCTGCAGCACCTGCTGCACAGCAGGATCGCGAAGATCTGCTGCCGTAGACACCAAGACATGCAGCTCCCCCCCAAATAAGTGCTGTACAATAACCTGCTGCTGCTGCTGCTGCTGCCGTCCCTCCTTCTGCTGCTGCTGCTCGAGAAGCTGCAACGTCTCCGCACATACCTGGTTTTGCTGCTTTTCAAGTCTGAGTTGCTGCTCCCGCACTTGCTGCTGCTGCTGCTCTAGGGGCTGCTGCTGCTGCTGCTGCTGCTGCTGCTGCTGCTGCTGCTGCTGCTGGGGCCTATTCAGCAGATCGGAACCTCCATTTGCAGCTGCAGCAGCGGCTGCAGCGGCTGCAGCGGCTGCTGCCGTGGGGTTACGCAGAAGGCGCTGCAGCCGTTCAAGTGCCCCCAAAGTGCGAGTAATACACTGAGCATAGGCAGTGGCGTGGGATGCACAGGGTGGCGCTCTCGCTGCCTCTCCAGCAGAGGAAATTGCAGGAGCTGCGGCTACGTCGGGCTCTAGAAGGCCCTCAGAGGGCGTCGGAGGCGAGAAACGAAAAAAGGGGTCGGGGTGGTGCGCCATTGTACGAGAAATTGCGGCAGCTTCCTGTCCATCCTGCTGCTGCTGCACTAGCTGCGAGCGTGGCAGCAGCGGACGCTGCCGTTACCAGAGACGCTGGAGCTGTTGATGCGAGATCTTGGCAGCATAGCCTTTAAGAGACTCAAGAGGCCAGCAAAGGCAATAGCAACAGCAACACCACCGGCGCAAGAGAGAACAGCAGCCTCTCTCAATGCAGCAGCAAGCAGCTATCGTCCGTTCCCGTTGCTGCTGCTATTGCTGCTTCTGCAATAAAGCATGCAGATCCATCATCGCGCCAAAATTTGCTGAAGAAGGGCAAAATCTGCTTCTATAGAGGGGGGGCCTCGCGCAGACGGGGGGCCCCTTCCTCCCCCCTGGATGGAAGAGTGCTGGACTCTGGGGCTGATCTGGGTGTTTGAACAACCCCACCCGTTGTTGCTCGTTTTTTCCTTCGATGAAACATGGAAGGCTTTCTCTGCGGGTTTTAGTTTGAGACACATCCACTGGAACAGGGCCCTTGTTATGGATGAGCTCTGCACGTCTGTGGTCCTTCAGACGAGTCAGCGTGGCTAATAGCGAGGGTCTTAGCTGAAACTCAGCCCTTATTACCTTTAACCCAGAATAAAGGCGCAGTAGACGCGTAACTTTGAGGGCCCGTCTAATTGGCCCTCGACCTTTCAGGAAACCAATGGGGTGTAGCTACAGCGGCTCAGAAGGAGGGTATGGAGAGCTCTCCGCGCAGAGCATGGCTAAGCCTATAGGCTTTAGGGGGTAGAGAGCCAGCTGACTCTCAAAAGACTGCAGAACCCATATAAAGCTATTCTACGGTTGTTCTCAGCTCGAGCCGGCATGGCTCTTGACACTGTGGTTGCCACTACAGCTGGTGTTCTTGGTGAACAACGCTCCGCCTAGGGTTGCTGTATGGAGGCGCCTAACTCCAAAAGCAATATCAACTTGATACACACTTCATCAGGCTGTCTTTGCACTGCCCCCCTCATCCTGCCTGTGACCAGCAGAGGTCTTGACATAAGGGCAGAGATACAGGCCGGGTGCGCACTCCTACACCCTACAGGCACTCCGATATTCATAGCTAGTTGCGCATAGCAGCTAATGCACACAACAAGCAATGCGTCTTACTTTTTAGAGCTAACCGTCATGTGCAATAAATAGGTTACATGTGCAGACACACCCAGCAGTCTATTCGCTACTAGTTCCCCAGTAAAGTATGACTTGTATGGTAGAAAGTGCTCGCGAGTATATTACGCGCTACATTTAGGCCACGGTTTGCTCTCGCGGCTCTTGGAAGCACACCTACCTCATTAAGGCACGAAAGGCAGGAGAGTTACAAACACGCAAAAGGTCGACTGGAGGACCTATAGGGTGGGGCGAAGGAGGTGGCGATTTTAGCTTTCGCCAGTGCAAGTAAATAGTAAGACAGCCTGCGTGATACGACGTTATTCAACCCTGTAGAAACGAAGAATAAGAAAAGATCCCAGAACATGCATCAGAACGTAGTCTGAACTAGTCATGAGATGCTCAGAGTGCGTAAACTTCAGGGCTCGCACTACCAGCTGGCTCTTTCCAAACAGCTAGCTGGCTACTAGGTTACTTTGCTAATTGTCTGGCTAAATGCAGATCTAGGAAAACTGGGTGGCCTCATTTAAGTAGAGAGGCTTCAAGTCTTCCTAATTAAATCACGCGACAGAGTACCTGCACTTGAATGGTTGGGAGAAGTAGCCATCAATTTAAAGCGCTGCAGGGGAAACGATGGCGGAGTTCCCAAGACTTTGCTTGTTCCTTCCGGCGACAGGGCTGGTATGAGTGTGCCCTCCGGCACGAACCCAAGCAGTGAGGGGCAGGAGTGCAATGTAGCAGCAAGAATAGTTTATTCCCCTTGAAAAAGGCAGTATCCAAAGGCAGACCACCGGTATTTGGCTTCCAACGTTTGCCCCGTTCCGACTCCTGTTCCCAAGCTGTCCATCATCGTAACTTGCAAATAAAATTATGCTACTTGCTACTCTTGGATTTTGGTGCTAATTGTTCCAGCTGTGAGATTACTGAAATCTCCAAATGGGTATCCTCGTTGAGAGCATAAGCTTTCCCTTTTAAAATGAAGAGAGCTTCTGACTTTCTACGCATAGAGGGAATTCAGGAGGCTTGTCGCAGTCTGGATACAGGCTGCCCCGATTGCGTCCCTGGATAGCGGTCAATTTGTTTGCGGCATGCCCCCAAAAGCGCACCAGGTCCCTAGCCCCCTTTGGATCACAGCCTTAATACTTAGACACATACGATTTCTGGGATTTTTTACCGTCATTGATTGAATGGCGAAAGACAAAACCTTCCCTCGCCCGGATGAACGCATATCATTGCAGCTTGTGATAATAATGCGTGCTGTAGTCCAGTTTTCCCGTCGCTGGCGACTGCGGGGTTAGCAAAGGATTGAGAAGCTGTTTTTTCTTCTTGGATATGGTGTTTGTTGCAAAGTATTTTGAGGTTGCCAAGAGAAGGCACTCTGTTCTGTGTGTGTTCGGGTGTGTGCGAAGGTATGTATGCATGTATGAATGAATGCGTGCATGTGTTTTAGATGTAATGAGCAGCTAGCTGTCATGTGTGGACTGCTTAGACAGTACAGCTACACGTACCCTAGCTGCCTCTGTCCCCTTATGTCGTGACCTATTGGGGCCGCCTCTGCCGCGGGAAGGAGGAGTTGTCATGCGAAAAACTGAAGAGCGTCGTATCAAGCCTTAGGTCGATGTCTCCGTACAAAGATCTTAGGTGAAGCCTTACAGTGCCTTTCTGCCGTGCGTGCTTTTACCGAGGCCCTTTGCCACTTTACCAGTACGAGGCCTTAATCAAAATGCAAACTAGCAAGAAGTGGGCAGCGAATCTTTTAAATTCTTGAGCTGCCAAAAGGCGCCGCTCAGAGAGACAGCCTGCTTGGGGCATCTACGTCCGAGTGCGATTTGGCGAAGCGAAAGCATTGTGGCACTCAGCTGGAAGCGATCAAAAGTGCTGAAAGAAAAAGGCGCCTCTGGTGCAGTCTGCATTTTCTGTGCTAAGCCCCCGGAAAAAGCAAAGGCTCACCAGCATGCTCTCGACAATACCTTGGCAATGAGCAAGACTTCTTTGTCGGGGATAACCCAGGATTTGGGGTGTGGGCTGTTGCTTGTGTGAATGAAATCTAGCGTCTCCGGCCCTGGTGCCTTGCGACGGCTCGGAATGCACGACAGGAGTATACTAGCTTCCTCCTTTTACTGCCTTCGGAGTAATTTCGGAGTGTCTGTGAGTACTAGAGCTTGTGTGAGAAGGGCATATTGTCGTAGGATATCGCAGTGACCATGCTCTGTAGCAAGGCCTTCCGCCCAACGTGTCCCCCCCGTTTCTTAGACTGAACTTGAGTGCAAGGAGGGTTTTTGAAGTGTTGCTGTATTTCGCCTATAATCCGCACGCTAATATTTCATTCAAAAAAGTAGGTTCTATAGCGGACCCTCCTTGAGGCAATGCGAACAAGGGTCGGCTGCTGATGCTGGAGGCCAGAGCCGACTTGGCGGAATGCCACGAGGGGTTTCAGTGCAGCGGCCACTATTTAGCGCCCAGTACTACAAACGCCACCAGATTTGAGGGCAATAGTGTTTTTTTGCATTGCTACTGAATCTTGAGAATCTTATTCTGTAGCATGTACCCCTGAGAACCCCAAGACCCTGCAAAGTGGGATACTCTCACACAACGCGTGGCGGCAAATGCAAAAGGCCACACACGCTGCTGCATTGGAAGTGATCTTAAAGTAAATTCCAAGTGGGATCGTGAAAAGTGCCACTGTGGTGTGAGGACAGGAAAAATCCTCTAGCGACAAATGCACATACCATTCCTCTGCCTCAGCCCATCACACGTACGACGCTGGGTTGCCTTTATTCCGAAGTATTATGAGGAGCCCCGGCCGCCTCTTCTGCCTTCTGGCTGTATCTTGGGGGTCAAGTGTCACTGCCGTGCCTCCAGCTTCCCGTTGCTAGGAATTCTTGCTGCAGCCAGGGGGTTCTGAGGGGCCCCTAGCCATCCCCATTGACCATCCTGATGGCTCTCCAGCGACAAACAGTAAGGCCGCTCCTGAGTTGTCGGCAGATCAGCACGTTGTACGAAACCCCGCTGACTGGTCCTGGTCTCGCTCTATGAAACCCCGTATCACCGATGGTGCAGGCATTCGAAGTAAATTGGGCAAGACTCTGAAGGGGCGGCGCGAGCGTAAACATGCAGGAAGCATTATCGCTGCAACTGCCACTGCGTTCAGTGAAGAATAGACCGTCGGAGTGAGCCTTAGGTGGTTTGCTTACAGGGGGTGGGGCTGGCGACACCCCGAATAACTGGAGGGAAAGAACCTATCTCTGCATGTACTCTATGGACGGTCGGCCTTGCGGGCCCAACAATTCGAGGGTGCCGATGTTTCCATCGAACATGCATTGTTTAGGTAGGCAGTGTTGCAGCAATATTCACTTGGCGGCGTTATTTTCCGGCAGCCTATGCACTAGTAACTCTATACTCTGAGTCTTCATAGAGGCAACTATTCCCACAGCAAATGCAGATGCTCCAAAAAATCGTGCACACAAGACGCCGTCTGCGTGGAGGAGCTGGCAGAACATGGGGGCGTACACTGTAAGTGCAAGGAAGGACTGAGAGAGAGTGGAGTGGACTGTCTTGGGGACAAGTGCCCGTCCTAAGATTGTTCACCGGGGAATTTTGCGTCCAGGAGAAAGCAGAGGCAAGATGTGAATGCCCATCGGGTTATGAATTCACGGGCACGAGCTGTCAGCAGATTCCACTCTGCAACAGGAATATAGAAAACGTTTGTGCGCCACCCGAAGGGGTGCTCGAGTGTGTTAATGTAAGGCTAACTGACTGGACTTGCGTTTGTGCTGATGGGTACGCCGTGGTAAGGACCCCTACCACCAGAACATGCGAGCCCGCGTCCAACACGCAATCCTGTTCGAATAAGCCTTGCGGAACAGTAC